CCCTGAACCTCTTGTGGCTTACCAAACTGCCAAAAACGCGGATCCATTAGACAAGTCCGCCGCTCGATGGGAATGTCGCCCGGGACAGAGGCATGCCAAAAAGTTTATCAAAAGACGATCACAGAACTGGACTCCTAACTGGACACTGCAGACTCCTAAGGCATATGCATAGACTCGGGGTAGCAGAAACAGGCCTGTGCAGTTATTGCCAAGAATAAGAAGAAACAGCGGAACAAGCCCGCTGTTGGTGCGAAGGCCTATGTAGGCTGAGATTCCTTATCGTGGAAGAGGAAAAGTCGGGGCCTGAAGGATACCCACGGGAGCCCTTTAAAAAGCTTTGGGGGTTTGGTAAAAAGCCTCAAGCTTAGCTCTAAATTTAAAAAAATGGAGATGAACAATAGACCAATACTGGTTGCGGTGCACAGGTCGTAAAGAGCCGACCTTTAACATTATTAACTTTAACGAAGGAGAAGGATAGCAGGGGGTTGTCAGCAATGCTCAGGATTCTTTGTTGTCCCGGTAAGACCAATCCTAACCTGCTGTACAATATTGTGACATATTACTCCTTATCGTTTGGTGGGTGATTCTATCCTCGATGGCAGACCAAAAATAACGTTCATTTAAGAGATATGTGCAATCTGAAAAAAACACGGACAAATAAAGACTTAGCTATCACGTCAGATAGCCGAGTTATACCGTGTTCTCTGGCACATAGGAGATGAGGGGAATGAACATTGAACAAGAGTCTTGTTCTACTTCCGCCATGTTTTTTTCAACTGGCCTAACCCTTTAAGAAGATAAAAATATGGACCATCAGGAACATTTTTCGTCAAGAGGAGTAAGTTAAAAGCATTTTTACAAACAATATATTAATACAAATAAACAAACACTGAAAAACTCTAATTGGGCATTCACCAATCCAAGATTATCGCAGAATTTTGGAAGAAAGAAAGCTTATCATGGAACTGTAAGAAAGTCATAATTAAGACAGTTATATATTTGTATCATCTTAATTACACGACGAACATGGCATTTGAGTTATTAATCAAAATATATTTATATCGTACAATTTTTACACAATTGTCAATCATCATTTATAATAATTTAAAATAATCATAATATTGATATTTTATAAATTAGCCTGTCGTTTTTTAATAAAGGTCTCGCTACTCCGCCCTTAATGTGAAATTAATATTACACTTGTGTTATAAACGAATGGATTTACTGAAATCTATTGTTTTTTCAGGTTTTAGTATTAACGGGTCGCGTTATAGCTTGAGGCCGGTAAACTTGGCGGTGCCGGCACAGAATCGATTGCTCGAAGTAGATCCCAACAGGATACCCAAACGTTGCCACAGTAGCTAAAAAATTAAACCTTTCTTCCTTGTTTTAGTTCAAAAAAGTTCCTCGCGAACAAAAAAAAAATTAAATAATCAGAAAACTGTTAGTTAGTTTTAGAACATGAACTTTTTTAATTGCGTATTATAGGCCTGTTTTACTGAGTGAATTTATTTTTTCGTACTGCGTTCACTCGTTATATGCTGAATACTTAATTGGCTCCATCGCAGACTAAACGTCCTCAGAATATCAGAGATAGACTAATGGAGGAAAATAAAGAAAGAGAGAGAGATTAGATAGATGAGGTAGAGAAAGATCAAAGAAAAATAGTTATGAAGAAGGAAGAAAGAACAATTTAAGTGGGATAGAATCAGACCAGATAAAATATATGGAGGAAAAAAGAGAGAGTGAGAAAGAGAAAATGGGATTGCGATGATTTGAGAATGAGATTTAAAATCTCGCAAATTTCGGTCGCGAATGAACTGTCTTAGATTTAACGAAAAATAGATAATATAAAGAAATAGACTGAGAGATAGAGAATTAAGTTTTATTTATATTCACAGTGATTTGGTCAAATTTGACCACTGGTATGTTCAACGACTTTTGCAATAATCATTATAAAATATAAAATACAACGGAGTTTGCGTAAATCTTACTTAAATGCTTCAAATTATAATATACTATATCACTTACATGCCTAATTTAATTAACAAAAATAATGTTACTTATTGTTATTTCAAAATCAAAAATAAAATAATAAGTAGCGGTGTAATGGACAAAATATTTTTAATCGATTTTATATTGTTATTCAAATTATTATGATTATATAAATGTCACTGTAGGTATCTATTTTTAAAACTGATTTAATATCTTTGTTCTCATATTACGTTTTTTACATATACAAGTTGTTTAAAAAAGATATTGGTTCTTTACGTTGTAAATTTTTTTGTAAAATACTTATAATTGAGTACGTTTTTAGATCTCCAAGTTTTAATATATTGAAAGCTTAATACATATTTTATCACCATTTTTAGGTTTAATATAAATCTAATAGATTTATTTTGTAGTTGTTGTACAGTTTTATTCTGGTGGTAGAAATGTCAGACATGATTGGGTAAAACTGTACAAATTTGGCGTGTTTAGAATATTTTTAAAAGTTCATATTTTTATCCCTATAGTAAAGATAAATTATGCCATATATTTTCTCCAGTAAAATTAGATATATAGTTTGCGATAGTTTACCAACTGAATTTGGAATGATGTTTATGTTTGTTATTTTGGTTTGTAATTTTTGTAGTCATTAACTTCGTAGAAAAATTATTTATATTACGGTTTCTATGTGTTCTAAATATGAGACGTTTTGCTATTAAGGAAATTGGCGATTGCTTGAAAGGCGTTAGGTCAGACGGTACTCTCTAGATTCACTCGGTTCTTTTTTCCCCATCCACCATCCCGCCATACATTTGGACGAACCGTGCCAATTAACTAAAATTTTGGTTGCTTTACGACATTAAAGGCGCGGCACGAAGATGGTAAGGGTTTTCTGTTTTACATTTAAATTTATGATTAATCAATATTACAATGGGTCAAACTTTGCTTGATTCTTCTTTACAATAACACAGAGGACACTAGCGATAACTTAATTTGGGGGCGTCGGTGGCCGCAAGGTTTAGTCTTTGACACGGCGCTCATCACTGTAAGGTAAAGGTCCCGGGTTCGAATCCAGCGGTCCTGCATTCGAACCCGACATACTTACAAATGGGCTTTTTTTTCCCCCCCACCCTGAGGATTGATATGACCTCTGCTGTTGCGAACCCTCGTAAAAAAAAAAAAAAAAAAAAAAAACTTAATTTGGGCATGCAAATTTAAATTGGCTATATACCATAAAAAAGGTTAATAAATATATAAATAGCAACACAAATATTTATATAGAATAAAGTAAGTTATTAAAAATATATGCAAACATGTCTAAGTAACCTGGAAGAAAAATGTAGTCAACATATTAAAATTAAGCTTGACCATTTCATAACGCCTGCGCAGAAAGATTTAAAGACACTAAAGCATCTCTTCTTTTATAAGCTCCCCCTCAGGTCTGATGGCCAGTTGTTTGAGAATAGAGCTTTTCGTTTTCCCATTTCCCTTTGTTGTAGAGGACTCGGGAAAAATTTTTTAAGCCTTTCGCCCATTTCGTAATGTTTTCTGGTTCGTACGTAGTGCAAGGTGTGGCACTACTTTGCCTCGTCGCTTCTCATAAACATAGGATATAGTTAAATAATATAAAATAAACCTAAGATACTTCTTTAAAAAGAGATAAAAGAAGACTCAGATCATACTAGTATTTTTTTTCCGTAGAGTAGACCATCCTCGGCCCTTGCTTGAAAACGCCAGTAAACCGTTTTGGTCAAAAGTAGCAAATGTTTTGTCAACAGGTGACGGTGAATTAATGCGGAATATACGCATTTTCTATTTTCCCAACATGTTGTAGGAGCTATTCACACTTCACTATACTCAAGTTTTTTTTATAGTTGACGTCATTTTGCAGGATTGGATCAATTATGTCAAAACCTATTTGGAGATCGTGATATGCGGTCTGGTGTGACGTACGTTTAGAAAACCATTTCGTTTATCGTGCTAATGTTTCGACCTTTATTGAGATCATCTTCAGGGTCAAAGTGTTTGTTTTCTTGTAGATGTGTCATTGCTGTGTACCATGGCACTCTCAACACAACATACAGCAATGACACATCTACAAGAAAACAAACACTTTGATCCTGAAGATGAGCTCAATAAAGATCGAAACGTTGATACGACAAAGAATATGTTTTTCTAATCCTACGTCACACCAGACCGCATCTTCCGATCTCCAAATAATCATTAATTAACGGTCACTAAATACCACACACATATCAATATTGACAATTTAAAAAAAACGTCAATGAGCAGAAAATTCATAAATGAGAACATACATGCACGCACAAACCGGCATATACACTCGCCCCCGGACGTTCACATAAACCCACATGAATATAATATTAAAAATATTTTAAGTAAGTTTTATATTTTTTGTTATTTGGTACTTGTTTACACTTCATTTTATGTAAGGTTTAATTTTTAATATCATTAGGCCTCAAGTGTATGTCGTCACGGCATCCTGTACGATTTTCAAGTACATGGTTTATTTCTGGAAAATATTCTAAGTATATATATTACTAATATAATGATGTTTGGTTATTTCTCTTTTTAATTTTCTTTATTGGTTTCGTTTTCTCAGCTTAATGTAAGTTCTACTGCATGGTTGTAAATAATTATGTGTATTTTTTGTACGAAAAGTATTATTTCTGTTTTAAATTATTAATTAAATTGTTTTTAATAGGTATATATATTTTTTATAATGAAGATTTTTTGTGCCCATTTTAAATAAACATTTTTCTTGTGTTCCACAACTTGCGCCAAGACGGTTCATCCTCGGCTAGGACCTTTTTTTCCAAACCGCCATCTTGCCGTAGTACTTTCTCACCTGCTTTCAAAAACGAAAAAAAATCGGCCGCGGTTAAAAAACGAAATTTTTTCGTCAAAAACCTAGTAAGAAGTTTGGATCAATGTCGAGTAGTGGGGGGAATCCTTGGAGTTTGGCGGGTATTGATCAGGTTGGCAGTGTGGAGCGCTCGGGTAGTCGCTATTCCGACAACCTCCACCAGTCTCTCTGCTCGTATCGACTGGGCGGCTCTGCTTTGCCTCCTATTTCGATGTGCCCATACGTAACTCGCATTTGGTAACGATATCAGTAACGACGACAGTTCTCATGCACAGGTACGATTTTTTTTTCAAAGATTTTATCATTTATCTCTCTATTTTTTATCCCCAAAATAAATTCCTCTTTTTTTCTTGGAATTTTGTGCATTTTGATAGTTAAATTTTCGCGATGGAAACTTTTTATTTCCTCCTTTGTACGATGTAAAAATCTTCGTCTGTTTAATTATACAGCAAATCTTCAATTTTAGTAGGTTTTTAAATATTAAAAATATTAGCCTTGTTTTTTATCTTTTTTTTTAACTAGGCGATCGGCCTCAAGCCGGCACACTTTAGCCTTTTAGCCCGTGATCACGTCCGGAGGGGAAAACCGTGACATCTCCCTTCTTTTCTTAAGGCCGGTTTACTTTAAAAGAAAGACCCCCCACGACAAATAAATAAAACAATAATAATAATAATAACGTAATGTTTCCGAGGACGGAACACCGACAGCCGTTCACGCCCTCCCGTCGCGATTTTTACCATTCGAAACGCCCCCTGTCACAAAAATCAAAATTTTATATACGATAGATATGAGACGGGGGAGGAAAAAACACGGGGTTGAAAGGGGCGGATTACGCACGTTGCTACTGAATTGTATATTTGAGTTTATGAATGAAACCACCCCTTCGCCCTCCCACCTATGTAGTACTTCTCTAGATTGCTTTTAACGTCGACCCCTGCTACCGCGAGCTGGTGCGTAGCTCTGTTTATTTATTTGGATATTGTCTCGGCCCGTTGCGTAACTCAGGTTGCGAAAAGTCGCCAACAGCCGCCGGAAAAGCCACGGTTTTTCTGCCAGTTTTCACGTGGGATTTTTCACTTTTACAAATAAACAGCCGCCTCGTTCAATAAACCCAAATGAATGTTATGCAACCGTATATGTCACTATGAAGACGATTTTGATAAAATACAACATAAAATATTCTATTAACATAAATCTTCCATGAGAATACCAATAAACATATACATTCGCATAGACATATTCGTTTTCATTCACATACGCAACTCAGGTCAGCCAACAATTTGATATTACCATCTGACAATCCAGTAAGAAAGTAGCATACTCTTCAAAATTATCGTAAATATCCCTTTTCTAAAACATTACCTTATATACAATTATCGTACTATACATACTAGTCATTATAAACAAACTTACCTGTCATATACTACTTGCATAGAATCGTAAAAAGTAACATATACAATTTGAAATTAGCATAATTCTTTTAATAGATTTACTCTTAATCACTCGTTTTCGCACTCTCACATTTTTTTTAATTTTTACATCAATATACCTATTTTACGCCAACAAACGGATATCATCTGTAAGTAATGCACTCTTTGAAATCAGTGTAAATAAATATCCCTTTCCTAAAAATTATTAAGCATCATACATACCCGTCATATATACCAATTAGGTAGAATAGTAAACAGTAGTATTCACTGAAATTAACATAATTCGCTTAACACGTTTTCCTTTTAATCAATTGTTCTTATACTTAACATTCTCTCATTTTTACATCCAATATATATTATCCATTTTTGCGCCAACAATATATCCATCTGACAATCTAGTAAGAAAGTAGCATACTCTTGAAAATTAACCTAAAAATCCCTTTTCTAAACATTAACTTACATACAATTATTATATGTTATTCGTCGATATAAACAAACTTACCAGTCATATACCAATTTTATGGAATCGTAAAGGAACGTACAATTTGAAAGTGACATAATTCGCTTAATACATTTACTCCTATACACTCGTTTCCCACGCTCACATTATCTTAATTTTTTCATCCAGTACACCTATTTTGCGCCAACAATTTGATATTACCATCTGACAATCTATTAAGACGGTAGCATACATAAAATTAACTTAAATGACACTTTTCTAAAACAATACCTTATATGCAATTATTATACTTTATTCATCGTTAAATACAACTAATACTAATTTTATAAATTTGTAAAAAGTAAGATACAATTTAAAATTAACATAATTCGATTATCTGTTTTTCATTTTAATCAATTGTTCTCACACACTCACATTCTGTCATTTTTGCACCCAATTTACTATTACAAATCGAAAAAAGTGACATACAATTTGAAATTAACATAATTCGCTTAATAGATTTACTCTTAATCATTCGCTCACATTCTCTCATTTTTGCATCCAATTTTCTTACTATGCGCCAAAAATTTATATACAATTTGATAGAATTGCTTCATATTTTTTTAAATTTTGATCATCTGATAATTTCGAAAAATGAGGTATACACCTTAAAATTAGCTTAAATAACCTTTTTATTACATATTACCTTATATTCTATAATTGTACAAACTAGGCCTTTTAAACAGTCAGGAGTGATATTTTAATTTGCTAGAATTTTATACAGCAGTACACACTTTGAAATTGACATCATTCGCTTAATCATTTTAAACCTCGTTGTCATACGAATACATTCCTTTAATTTTTTAAATCTCGAACATTCTGGATCAAGGTATGGTCTTGAAGAAAAAAGCAAATTTAGCAGTTCTGCCAATTTTTAAATTTAATTTTAAATTTAAACTTTTAAGACTGCTGTGCGCCAACTATCTTATGCTATCATCATTTTCTCTCATTTTTACATCCAATTTAACTATTTTGCGCCAACAATATGACACTTCCATCTAACAATCTAGTATGAAAGTAGTATGGTCTTGAAAATTAACTTAAATATCCCTTTTCTAAAACAAAACCTTATATACAATTATTATATATTATTCATCTTTAAAAACAAACTAATACTAATTTTATAAATTTGTAAAAAGGAAGATACAATTTGAAATTAACATAATTCGATTATCAGTTTTTGCTTTTAATCAATTTCTCTCACACGCTCACATTCTCTCATTTTTGGATCCAATTTACTTATTATGCGCCATGAATTTTTATACAATTTGATAGAATTCGTTTCATATTTTTATATTTTGATCATCTGATAATTTCGAAAAATGTAGCATACACCTTAAAAGTAGCTTAAATAACCTTTTTCTAAAACAAAACCTTATATACAATTATTATACATTATTCATCGTTAAAAACAACTAATACTAATTTTATAAATTTGTAAAAAGTAAGATACAATTTAAAATTAACATAATTCGATTATCTGTTTTTCATTTTAATCAATTGTTCTCACACGCTCACATTCTCTCATTTTTGCATCCAATTTACTTATTATGCGCCAAGAATTTTTATACAATTTGATAGAATTCGTTTCATATTTTTTTTTTATTTTGATCATCTGATAATTTCAAAAAATGTAGCATACACCTCAAAAGTAGCTTAAATAACCCTTTTACTACGTATTACCTTATATTCTACAATTATACATACTAGGCCTACTAAACACTCAGGAGTGATATATTTATTTGCTAGAATTGTATACAGTTTGAAATTGACATCATTCGCTTAATCATTTTAAACCTCGTTGTCATACGAATACATTCCTTTAATTTTTTAAATCTCGAACATTCTGGATCAAGGTATGGTCTTGAAGAAAAAAGCAAATTTAGCAGTTACTGCCAATTTTTAAATTTAATATGCCTGCTGTGCGCCAACTATCTCATGCTATCATCATTTTCTCTCATTTTTACATCCAATTTAACTATTTTGCGCCAGCAATATGATACTTCCATCTGACAATCTAGTATGAATTAACGTAAATATCCGTTTTCTAAAAATTTACCTTATATACATATATTATACATTCGTCGTTATAAACAAACATACCAGTCATATACCAATTTTATAGAATCGTAAAAAGTAGCATACAATTCGACATTAACAGAATTCGCATAACAGTTTTTCCTTTTAATCAATTGTGAAATTGTAATTGTATACAAGGATTGTACATATTAGTCATAAACAAACTTACCAGTCATATACCAATTTTATAGAATCGTAAAAAGTAGCATACAATTCGAAATTAACAGAATTCGCATAACAGTTTTTCCTTTTAATCAATTGTGAAATTGTAATTGTATACAAGGATTGTAAATATTAGTCATAAACAAACTTACCAGTCATATACCAATTTTATACAAATCGAAAAAAGTGACATACAATTTGAAATTAACATAATTCGCTTAATGAACCCTTAATCACTCGCTCACGCACACTCACATTCTCTTAATTTTTTCATCCAATATACCTATTTTACGCCAACCATTTGATATTAACATTTGACAATCTATTAAGACAGTAGCATAGTTATTATACCTTATTCGTCGCTATAAACAAACTAATACTAATTTTATAAAATTGTAAAAAGTAACATACAATTTCAAATTAACGGAATTCGCTTAATGTTTTTCCTTTTAATCAATAATTGTTCTCACACGCTCACATTCTCTCATTTTTGCATTCAATTTACCTATTATGCGACAACAATATTGTTATAAACACAAACAAACTGACCAGTGATATACCAGGTATATATACACCTCCTGTGCTCCAACTATCTTATGCTATCATCTGACAGTAACATACTTTTTGAAATCAGCATAAATATCCCTTTTCCAAAAATTTACCTTTTACTCAATAATCATACATATTTGTCTTTCTAATATTCTTACTAGTGATGACCAATTTGATACAATTTTAGAAAGCAGCATACAATCTGAAATTTTCATAATTCTCCTCATTTTTTTCTCTTAACAACTCGTTCTCACAGGCATTCTCTCAGTTTTACATCCGATATACCTATTTTGCGCCAACAATTTGATGTCATCTTCTGTCAGTTTAGTGAAAAAGCATATGCTTTAAGATTAGCGTAAATAAGCCTTGTCCTAAAGGATAACCTTTATATTCGAAGATCATTACAATCGCAATTCAAACTTAACGCATACAAATTTGATAAAATTTTAAAAAGTAGCAAACGTTTCAAATTAGAATAATATAAATATTTTTATTGCATACCAATTCGGTAAAATTGTACAAACCAGCATGCAACGCAGTGCCCGACGATCTTATG